CCAGGAACGGTCTGTAGGAGTTTGTGGTGATGCCCTTTGGTCTATGCAATGCCCCTGGGACATTCCAGCACGCCATGACAAGGATATTTCATGAGTACTTATCGACGTGTACCTCGACGATATCCTTATCTTTAGTAAGACTGTAGAGGAGCACGCTCAACACTTGAAAATAGTGCTAGGTCTCCTAAGACAGCACCAAGGTAAACTTGGAGAAATGCGAGTTCGGTCACACCAAGATCTTGTACTTGGGTCATGAAATCTCCGCGGATGGGTTGATGTCGGACGATGCCACAGTGGCCAGCATACGGGACTGGCCCAGACCTCAGACTGTTGTTGAGGTCCGATTATTTTTGGGGATGACGGGCTACCATTGTCCGTTTGTTAAAAACTATAGTACTATAGCTTCCAATTAACAGATCTAACTCGACTTTACACCCCTTGGGAGTGTACTGAAGAGTGCGAAGCAGCCTTCAAGAAATTGAAGTACGCACTGACGCACTACGAAGTCCTCAAACTTCCGGATCCTGAACATCCCTTTGTCGTGACCACAGACACCAGCCAATATGGCATAGGCGCAGCCCTTGCGCAAAAGGAGGGGAAACAGTTGACCGATCGAGTATATGAGTAAGAAGATGCCCTCTCAGAAACTGGCCAGATCTACTTATGAGCGTGGGCTTTATGCCCTGTACCGAGTGTTGGTCCATTGCAGACACCATCTCCTGGGAAGATTCTTCTATGTGAAATCTGACCATGATACCTTGCGCTGGATCAAGACACAACCGGTACTCTCTAACGCACTCAAGCGGTGGATTCAAGTGATAGACATGTGTGACTATCAACTTGATCCAATCAAGGGAGAGTACAACAAAGTGGGTGATGCACTATCACGCTGGGCAGATTATCTGGGCGCACTAGTAACTGAGTTTGGCATATCCGATGATGTAACTCGATCCCTGGTGGAAGCCTATCTGGAAGAAATACAGTTATGTCTGAGGTCATCCGCAAACTGGAGGCTAAGAATAAAGTTACCTCCGATGAGTTTGGGCTGTTCAATGGCTTGCTGTTTCTTGAAAAGGCTGGGAATAAAAGACTGTGTGTCCCAAGTAGAGAGTCTTTGCGTAGTCTAGGGGAATGTCATAATGCAACTGGTCATTTTGGTTACAAAAAGACATCAGCTAACCTAGTGCAAAGATTCTGGTGGCCATCTATGATGCAAGATGCGAAGAAGTACGTGGAAACCTGCCAGGTTTGCCAACGGGATAAACCTAGGTCTCAGGCTCCGCTTGGGCTTATCAAGCCCTTGCCGATTCCTGAAGGACCTGGTCAGAGTGTGTCCATGGACTTAATGGATACTCTTGTGACCAGCAGGTCTGGGAAAAGACACATCTTCGTTATAGTTGACTGTTTCTCGAAGTTTGCAAGACTAATAGCTATGCCAGAGACCGCTAAAACCGACTGCGGCATCAGGTTGTTTATGGATAACTGGGTACGGGGCTTTGGCTTACCTAAGTCCATCATCAGCGACAGGGATGTGCGCTTCACAAGCGAACTGTGGCAAAACACAGCCCAACAGATGGGTACCAGACTTCAGATGACATCATGTAATCACCCTTGAGTCAAACAGACAGGCGGAACAGATGAACCGAATAGTGCAGCACCTATTAAGGGATTACATCAAGCCAAGTCAGGATGACTGGGCCGAGAAGTTGCCTCTCGTCGCCAGCCTGTACAACAACGCTGTGCACAGCACTACTGGCATGACCCCCAACCAATTGCATCTTGGTTGGAAGCCAAGATCCGCCTTGGATTTTCTACTGCCTGAAAGCCAGCCAACTGCAGCCCCTGGCAGCATAGAGTTTGCCATCAAATACGAACAGATACTGCAGCAGGCCGTTGAACACATTAGGAAATCTCAGGATGCTATGATTGCATCTGAGAACAAACACAAACGGTCATCTAACTTTGAAGTAGGAGACAGAGTCTGGGTAAAGTCATCTGAACTGGGGCAGGAATTAGGAATCTCCAGACAATTAATGCCACAGTACTTCGGTCCCTGGGAGGTCCATAGTCGGAGATCAGATGGATGGACCTTCCTATGTGATCCGCATCTCACCTCACCTCCGCACACATCCAGTTTTTGTCACGCATCAAAGCTGGCACCTTTTGCGGAAACTGTACAGTTTCCCTCCAGACAGTCAATGCTGCCCCCAACCATGGCTGGGGAAGTCGACATCGATGGAATCGTGGAGCATCGAGTGATGCCAATGCCTGATGCCAATGCCTAGGCCGCCGTCGTAAACCGAGAATGCAATATCGTGTCAGATTCAGACATCATCTGGCTCCCAAGGAAGAACTCATGAGAACAGCACCTCAAGTTATTGCAGGCTACGAAAGAGAACTTAAGGGGAAGATGCCTGCAGATTAGAAGATTTCTCAGAGGACTATCGAAGAAAGGAGGGGGGAATGCGAGGATCTGGGTCCTCGGCAGGCCTAAGGGGCCCTGTTGCAAATGTGCCCGCCCTAAGTGAAGGCGGGCCTAACAAATCACGAGCGGCCCTCAGCTGTCAATTTCGTATTTGGGGTCCAGGCAGTTGTGACGCGCCAGTTGGTTGAGGGAAACACAGGCCGAGCAGCAAAGACATTCCACGGCCTTCCAGGCCTTTCCGAAAATGCAGTCCCTGGGCGAGAATCGTAGCCTCATACACAGACAGTTGGGGCCCAACTGAACAAGGCCCAGTGGCGGCAACAGAGGTGCAGCCTCCCCGGGCCTACTGGAAGCTTCTGGGCCGAGGCCCAGGCCAGCCAGGCCGCGAAGGCAGGCCGGCTCTTTCCATATAGGAAAGAGCTCGCTTCCTGGAGAGGCATTCAGCACTTGCATGCCGGCGGCAGCGCTGCTGGAGCGGACACTCGTAGGCTGCTGCTGGCGCTGAGAGGCAAGGTGCTAGCGCGTGCAGTCGTGCAGGAAGCAGGGCGCTGCTGAGGGCAGCGCCATAGCCCAGCCTCCATAGCTGGATGGGCTTGGACTACAGTGAGGCGCAGGGGTGGTCTTCGGGTGTACAGAGGGAAGACGTGGGAGTAAGTCAGGGGGGAGAGAGAAGGATGATGATGATGATGATGATGATGTGAGGGCACATACCTGGTATTGCCGATGGTCTGCATTGGGCGACATCTTCAAGTACTTCGTGGGCTGCTGACGTCAACAGTTGCATTGTCAATTAGTAGGCAGACTGTAGCTTTGTAGGAAGTAGGCTGGGCGCCGAGCGCCAAGTAGGGAGATAGGGCCTGGACACTCATGTTGGTGGTGGCGAGAGCAAGCTCTCATTGACATCGGTTTTCAGTGTTACGAT